TTGCGTGTTTCTGTTTAAAGACAGCGTACTGAGAGCATCCCATTGGTTCATGGACAGTGAGCTCCAGCCAACAGCCCTGTAATGGGCACCTGCCTGGACTTGATCCAGCAGGTGCTCTCTGCACACGGCCCAGCACCACATCCTGAAACCTGGGACCTGGGTACTGCACTTCACTACACCTGGGGACCGTTGGAAACAGAGGGAACTACCAGCAAAATCTGCAAAGACGTGGAGACCAGGGCCCTGGGCAAACCGTGAGAAGGACCGTGTTTGCAGAACGAGCTGAAAGGAGGGGAGCGGCCCTGATGTCACTGAGGCCCCAGCACGGATGAGGAGCATCCACACTAACGTTTTTCAACAGTCGTTTGACCCTGATCCCCAAATCCCTTCCTTCCCGGAGGGAAAGGTGGTAGCTGTCCCAACTCAACTCCACCGCCACCTGCCCAGGATTGTGACAGGCCTTGGTGTCATAGATCTCTTCTCCAACCTGGTGGGAGCAAAAAAGTCCACAGGCACTTCTAAAGGGAAAAGTAGAAAAGTGGCTATCATCATGGACTCTGGCATCTTGACACAATGTAGGCGCCCAAACAGAGACCCTCATAGAACTTAGCTTCTCAGCTGTTCCCGGAGCAGAGGGCAGGGGGTACTGCTAAACACACCTGCTTTTTGGCATCTCTGGAGAAAGCTGCAGGGCTGGGGGAGGACAGACAACCCCTAACGTGCCCCACGGGGGCACACGTGGCCTCCTGGCCTGTAGATGCATCCTTGAGGAAGGGTCAGGAGCAGCTCCTCTGAAGGAAACTTCTAGAAGAACCCAGGGATGTGCCTGGCCCTCCTGAGACTCCACTCAGGCCTTGGGGATTGGGCAACTCTGTCATAAGAAGCTGTTGAAAGGCATCAGAAAGCTCCGCCTGGAGATCCACCCTTTTCCGGGCTTCCTGGGGAACCATGGCCTTCCACACCAACTCTGAGCCTCCTCGGACTCTCGTGCCTGTGCTCCATGCTTGCCTTTGCCTCGTGGCCTCTCTGCTCCCTGCCTGGCTTTGTCTTAAGGGTCTCATGAGATCACCTGGCCACCAGCCCGCTGGCTCCCTCTGCCCCCGACCCCACGGTGTCACAGACAGCTGGCAGGAGGCTGACGAAAGGGCCCTTGCAGAGGAGAACAGCTCCCGGGGCAGGCAGCACAAGGCTTCCTCCCGGCCCACCCTATGCCCCCAGGGTCCAGACAAGCGGGTAGGGTTTGGGTTCAGGTTGGGGCTGGTGAAGCCATTGGGTCCACTCAGACCAGCTCCTGGGAGAGGGCGGAGCCAGGCCACGTGAGGCGGCCACCTGGTGAAAGGGGCAGGCACCCCTTTCCATCCTCTTCCTCATCACCCTGGGGGGCTCAGGGCAAGGGTGGGTCTTCAAGTGTTGTCACCCCCCTGCGGCCCCTGCTCGGGGATACAAGGTAGCGCCCACTGCCCACGCACACACAGTAGGGCCAGGACTGGCAAGTGTGCATTCAGAACGGGGCTCAGGGTCCCAGCTGGACCCAGCAAACCGCCGATCCCGCATCGGGAGTCCTCATCCGCTGAGCGGAAGGACTGATGATCGATGACTGTTCACAACCGGCGGTCAGCACAAAGCAGCTCCCAGGCCAGTGCCTCCATCGTAAGCAGGCCTCAAGTTCAGGGACTCGAGTTCAAGCCCCAGCCTGTCCTGGAATGGTCTCTGGTCATCCCTGGACCAGCAGGTTTCCCTAGAGGCAGGCCTTCTCCGTGCTAAAAACCAAGAACATCGGGCAAACTGGCATGAGTTTGCCACCCCGTTTAACTTTCCCACTGTCCGTTTCATCCCCGTAAAGTAGGCAATGCCGTCCGACTCAGCATCAGAGTGCTTTCTTGTCCACCAAGAGCTGCCCTAGTGAAGAGGCACATTGTCCTTCTCCCGTGGTGTAACTGGGGCCTCCAGAAAAGCATGCCCGCCGGCCCCCAGGGTCTTTCATTAGGACACCCCACAGACAGCTAGCACCCTCCCACCCCATGCTCCCTCCATCACTTTAATGTGAACTTTCGTCTTCAAAGATCTGCCAGGAAAAGTCACCCCAATGTTGGCACCACGCAGTCCCAAAGAGAAGAGGAACGGGATCTGAGCTCCCGGGTGCTAACAAGTTAGAACCAGTCACCAAACATGCGACACTGCTTGTTCAACATACGTGGAAACTCAGGTTCACATGTTTCAAAAGTTGTCCTCCAAAAAAGTAAGACGCGTGATTGCGACGATCACCTCTGGCAGAGGAGCCTTCTTCCTCGGCCAGCGTCACTAAGCCGACGGGCAGCGGAGCTAAGCGGAAGGGCACTGCCGGCCTCTGCCGGGGCTGACGACGCAATGACGACACAGGGAACGCTACTCAATACTCTGAGCAGCATGAGAAAAGGATCCAAAGACAGAACAAGCACACGGACATGCCGACTCGCGGAGCCGCTCGCCTGAAACTAACACAGCGGAACCGAGGTCACACAGCAAAGGCTATGACGCCGCTCCTCCCAGAGAGCCCTCCCCACGAGGCAAGACGCTTGGAATCTGAGCAGGGGAAAGACTCGGGGTCCCTCAGCCTAGTCCCCTTCCGAGAACTCGAGGACTCCCGCACCCCAGCCCCCCAGCTATCTGGCTCCTACACTACCCTAGCCTGGCCTGGCGGGGGCACGCCCACCCCTCCCCGTGGGCCTGATGGGAGCAGAGTCTGGTCGCTGACCTGAGCGTCCACCTTCCTGGGGTCCCTCTTTCCCCCTGAGCCATGTGTCCTCACTGGTCCCATCTTTCTCTCTAGGATCGGGGGTCCTTCATCAAGGGTGCTCATGAGACAGGTCTCCCTGCTCCCCTCCTTCGTCACCTCCTCCAACACCTAAGAGAAGGAGGCGGGGGAGAGCAACAAGGAAGGCAGATGGGGACGGGAGGGGGGACTGGAAAGGGAAGCCGAGCCCCAGAGCCCAGAGTCCTGCCCGCGGCTGGGGGATGAGCTCAGCGCTTCTGGAAGGGGAGGGCAGGCCAGGGCCGTGCGGTCAGCGGTGACTCAGGCCTCTTTGTCCCGCGTGCACAGTGGTGGACAGAGAACGGGCCCTGCAGAACAAAGAGGTTCTGTGGAGCAGCCCCGAGCAGAGGGCAGCGCCGGGGAGGGAACGCTCCGAGAGAAAGGGACCCCGCACAGCGTGGGCCGGCCCGCCCGGAAGTGCAGTGGCATCGAAAGTCTCCTGAAGGCAGCGGAGGCCAGCGGGCGGGGCGCCAAGAGGCGGACAGGACCCCCGGGAGGCAGGCCGCCTCAGCCTCCTTCCCGCGCTCACGGCTCCCCTCTTTCTCTCCCAGAGCCACAGGCATCTCCCCTGGTCGGTGCCCCCCATCCCCTCAAGGGCCAGGGGTCCGACTCCGCTTCTTACTCCCTGGGAGTTAGTGTGGGACTGAGCCCAAGCCAAGCAGTGGTCCTGCTGCCAGGACCACTCTGGAGACCCTCCCACCGCAGCTGCCTCTCGGCCCAGTGACCCCCGCCCCCCTCCCAGTGGGCGCCAGCACCACCGTGAGGTCTGGCTGCCTCCGTGTGAGTGTGGATCCCTAAGTGGGCACACCCCCCTTTAGAACCCTCTCCAAGCCAGTGGTGTGTTTGCTACACCATGTTCTTCCACCAAAGAAGAAGGGAGAGGCCTGAAAACCTAGTTTTCCTGGGACAGTTTTGTTACCAATTAGGAAACGTGGACCCCAAGCCCTGAGCAGCTTCACCTGGAGGCCTGGGCAGTGGGGGACAGTTGGGGGGGGTTGGGGGGTCCTCTCCCTCCATTAGCCAAAAGGTTGCCTCTCTGTGAACATTACACCAGAGGATTCCTTTGTATCCGTTCTTCCGACTCTTGTTTCGTTTGTTCACCATCATGTTTTAAGATTAATCCATGTTATTGCTTGTAGTTCTGATTTGTTTGTTCTTGTTACCAGAATATTCTCCAGCAATAAGAAGGATGAGATGGCTGGATGGTATCACTGACTCGATGGACATGAGTCTGAACAAGCTCCGGGAGTTGGTGAAGGACAGGGAGGCCTGGCGTGCTGCAGTCCATGGGTCACAAAGAGTCGGACACGATGGAGCAACTGAACTGAACCAAGAAGGTGCATGGATAGCTGGACACTCACCAAACCAAGTGAGGAGTAAGCAGGGGAACCCCTGGGGAGACAGCTCTGTTCTGTTTCTTGAGTTTACTGGGGGTCATGCTATTGCATGTGACCTTCATTACGCTGGTCATTATTGATCATGCACTTGCCTGCATGCTTTACGTTTCACAACAAAAAGTTCCCATGAACAGTGGAAGCCCCATGAATAAGGCATTTGGGGTTGCATGCATGCTCAGTTGCCTCAGTCGTGTCTGACTCTTTGAGACCCCGTGGACTGTAGCCCCCCAGGCTCTCTGTCCGTGGGGTTCTCCAGGCAAGAATACTGGAGTGGGTTGTCATGCCCTCCTCCAGGGGATCTTCCCGACCCAGGAGGGGAACCCACATCTCTTGGGTCTCCTACATCGGCAGGCAGGGTCTTTAGCACTACAACCACCTGGGAAGCCTCAGGGTTTGGGGGGAATTTGCGGTTATTATATGCAGAGTGAGGTCACCCTGGAGGGAGATCCACCATGGTCCCAACCTGCTCGAGACCTCAGGTCCTGAGCTCCTGGCGGCGGCTTAGTCACTGAGTCGAGTCTAACTCTTGCGACCCCGTGGACTATAAGCCGGCAGGCTCTCTGTCCGTGGGTTCTCCAGGCAAGAGCCCTGGAGCGGGCTGCCCTTAGATTAGCTCATGAGCGGCTACAAGACTGTCCCAGGATCACTGGGGTCAGAAGTCTCCTTCCCCCTGTCGCAAGTCTGATTCATGTTAGGAACATGAATCCTCCTGTAAAGATCCTTCCGTCGGAGACCCTGCGCGAGTCTCCCGCACAGGCCCCCATCCCTCCTGGAGCCATCGCTGACCTGGAAGAACCCGGCCTTCTCGTCAGCCGACTTCCCCGGCCGAGAAGGGCGCCCCGCCACTGGCCTCTGTGACCGATGACAAACGCCTCCCACTCAGTACACGCTTTGCCTCTTGCGTTGCTTTCCGTAACCGCCACCAGGTGAGACGGGCAGGCCAGGGGGAGGCCTCGGCAGGTCAGCCAGCTCGCAAGGTCGGGGGGCCTGGTGGCCGTAAACGCAGGACTCAGGCTCAGCTCCAGAAGCAGTGGGACAGCAGGTCCACGGAGGCGGGGACCCAGCCATGCGCTGATCTCACCCGGCGAAAGGCAGCGCTCACACCAGGACACTGGCGTCTGGGGCCTTGGCCTTTCCCCCAGAAGAGCACTTCGGCATCTGCCCCCTTCTCCAGGAGCCCCTGCTTGACCCCAGCCCCCCATGGTGAGCCCCCGACCCTGCCCCGTGGCCTGGTCTGCTCCTAACCATGCTCAGTCCGGCTATCAGTTCCCCACTGGTCTCCCGGCCAGACCGGGAAGGGAGGTGCCCGAGAGCCCAGGACAGCTGCTCGGGAAGGTGGCTCAGCCGCCTTGGCTCAGACAGGAGGCCGAGCCTGCCTCCCGTCTCTCTCCAACGGGGGCCAGCACCCGTGACACAGCTGGCAACAGGGTCTGCCCTTCTCCAGGCTTCTGGGGGGAAACACTGTCATAAGGACGATGCTGATGTTTTTACTGTAATTGGATCTGAGTCACTCAGTCGTGTCTGACTCCATGTGACCCCATGGACTGTGGTCCCCCAGGCTCCTCTGTCCATAGGATTCTCCAGGCAAGAATACTGGAGTGGGCTGCCATTCCCTTCTCCAGGTATGTTCCCAATCCAGGGATCGGACCCACATCTCCTGCATTGCAGGCAAATTCTTTACCATCTGGATCTGAGTTCCTGTGAATTTGTGATTTCCATAAGGACACTTTCTCCAAGAGTGAGAAGCAGCTTGGTTTGCCAGGAGGAGGATGTACAGAGGCCAGCATGCTTCGTGTGAGCATCCATGGGGTTGGGAGCCCCCTGTAGCTGCCATGCTGCCCCTGGAGACCCCTGGGACGTGTATTTCAAAAGAAAGCCGTCTCTTTTAAAATGATTCCCTCCCACCAAGAGGTGAGAAGACAATGGCTCAGGAGGCCTGGAAGGGACCCACTGTCTCCCACGTGCTCCAGCCGGGGGCAGTGCTCGGTCCATACCCAGGGGAGCCACACTCCCCTCCGAGGTGCTCGGCCACGGAGACTGGGGTGAAGCATGAGCTGAACTGAGAATTCTCCTGGCGCCCAAATCGCACCCAGAGTCCACGGAGAACATTCCTTCCCACCCGGGCCCCTCACCATACATTGTCTCCAAGGGGCGGAAATCAACACGTCTCCAGGTGAAAGAGCAGACACTCCCCCTCACGTGTGTCGGACGGTCACTCACCGCCTGGGTGTCGCGGACACCGCCAACCCCGCCTGGACATGACCCTGGTGGGACCACTGTCCAAGGCAGGGAGCTCTGAGCCGCTGCAGGCAAGTGGGGGCCGGGAGAACGTGTGAGGTCACACTGCAAGGTGAGCCGGCTCCCAGAAAGGCCACAGCTCAGCCCTGCAAGCTGCTCGGTCTCAGAGTGAGAACTGAACTCCTGGGGTCAGGAAAACAGTGGGGCTCACTTAAGATGCAATCAGCGTGTTCAGGCCACTCTTCAGAAATTGCCCCAGTGGATACTCTTCACCAGCACATAAATGCGTGCGGCGCTTCTCAACAGAACCACGGGGACAGTTTTGTGTGGCTTCAGCACCCACTCGTTTCATGGTGGTGTTACAGGGGTGTGACTACAGGCCATGTGACCTGCACACCAAGCGGGAAGTCAATCCCGGGAAGACGCGAGTGTGATGCAGACTCTGGGGAGCGGCACGCTCTCTCAGCGGTTGGGTGTTCTCACAACCCACCGGAGGTCTGTGGCAAGCTTGCAGGGAAGCACCAACAGAAGGGCGGGCACGCTGGTGAAGACATGAAACCCCCGGAGTGGCGAGCAGTCAGCCAGGAGAGCCCCCGAGAAGACCTTGGCCCAGGAGGAGGCACCCTGGGCCCAGATAACTACAGGCACAAAACTCCCCTCACGAGCTTACCTTGAACCCTCTCTTGAGTCTACTGTTAGAAGCTCAGAAATCTCCTTTAAACACACTTGTGTGCTGGATTGCTTTAAACAGCACCATTTCCAGGGTGTCCACGCCTGCAGCCATGTCTCGCCATATTCCATGAGTAAGGACAGGGCTGAGTGGCGGGCAGCGAAGGGTCCATTTCCTGAGGAGGGAGATGGTGTCCAGCCCCCACCCCCAGAGCTGGGCTCCTCCACATCTAATCCACAGAGAAAAGGCCAACCTGCTGATCTGAGGCTGACAAACCTTAAGATGCAGCTAACATTCAAAGGGCTTCCCTGGTGGATCATGGTAAAGATTCCGCCTGCCAGTGCAGGAGACGTGGGTTCAATCCAGCAGTCCATGGGATCGCAAAGGGCCAGACACAACTCAGCAACTAAACAACAACAATATTCAAAAGACTGCATCAAAAAAAATTAAAGAGTCTAGATATATAGCAAGTCTCTCACTGAGGCATTGCTGGTTCAGCGGTAGAATTCTCACCTGTCACGTGGGAGGCCTGGGTTTGAGGCTGATGCAAACCTTAAGATGCATTTAATATTCAAAGGGCCTCCCTAGTGGCTCATGGTAAAGATTCTGCCTGCCAGTGCAGGAGACGTGGGTTCAATCCCTAGGTCGGGAAGATCCCCTGAAGAAGGAAATGGCAAGCCACTCCAGTATTCTTGCCTGGGAAATATCATGGACAGAGGAACCTAGCAGGCTACAGTCCATGGGGTCACTAGGGGTCGGACACAACTTAGCAACTGAACAACAACAATATTCAAATGACTAGATTAAAAAAATTTTTAAATAAAGAGTCTAGATATATAGCAAAACTAATAAGATGGAATTTATCCAACATTAATACAAATGCTAAACTCAACTAACCATGTGGTATAAGCTGGAGGAGATGTAATTTAGTACATGTGAAGAAGACCAAGAGCATGTATTGCCAATGTGACAGATCTGAAAAATACAATAAAAATAACATGAGTTGGGGCTACCTCCATAGGATTTAATATTCAGTCTCCAGCTGGAACCAACTTCAGCATATTGAGTCCAGATCTGGACACTTTTGAGGCCAACTCTGAAGCAAGCCACATTCAGAAAACTAGAATCATGGCATCCGGTCCATTCACTTCATGGCAAATAGATGGGGAAAAAATAGAAACAGTGGCAGACTTTATTTCCTTGGGCTCCAAAATCACTGTGGACAGTGTCTGTAGCCATGAAATTAAAAGATGCTCCTTGGAAGGAAAGATATGACAAACCTAGACAAGGTATTAAAAAGCAGAGACATTAATTTGCTGACAGAGGTCCGTATAGTCAAAGCTATGGTTTCTCCAGTAGTCATGTACAGATGTGAAATTTGGACCATAAAGAAGGCTGAGCACTGAAGAACTGATGCTTTCAAACTGTGGTGCTGGAGAAGACTCTTGAGAGTCCCTTGGACTGCAAGGAGGTCAAACCAGTCCATCCTAAAGGAAATCAGTCCTGAATATTCATTGGAAGGACTGATGCTGAAGCTGAAGCTCCAATACTTTGGCCACCTGATGCAAAGAGCTGACCCACTGGAAAAGACCCTGATGCTGGGAAAGACTGAGGGCAGGAGGAGAAGGGGACAACAGAGGATGAGATAGTTGGATGGCATCACTGACTCAATGGACATGAGTTTGAGCAAACTCCAGAAGACAGTGCAGGACAGGGAAGCCTGGCGTGTTGCAGTCCATGGGGTCACAAAGAGTCAGACACAATTTAGCAACTAAACACCTGAAGCAAGCTGGACTAGGTCCCAAGAAGAACGTGTGGAACAGAAGAGAGAAGGTGGGCTTTGTGAGCCACTCCCAAATCTACCGTTCGTTATGCAGCTATGTCACTGCAGACAACTTACTTAACCTCTCCAAACCACTGTTTTCTCATCTGAGAAATAAGAATAATTTAGACACTTTCCCTAGCTGAGATAATTATGTAGGTCACAATGCCAGTCCCAAAGTCAGCACCCAGCAAATTCGTTAAATTATTATTATCTTTGTGCTGTAAAAGATAACCTGGCAAAACAAACACAGTAGCAGTCTTTAGATGCCTGTTACAGGAGAGATGGGCTGGGAGCACCGGGCTCAGGGCAGAGCCGAGGCCGTGGTGGGAGAGGCAGGGGAGGGGCTGGGGACAAGGAGAGACAGGGCAGAAGAAGAGATACCCCCGCCTCCGAGCAGTTCGATACTGACTCCGAATCCCTGGATCCCATGTTGAGAAACTTAGCTCTGAAAGTGTGACACTTCTGTTCAAAGCGTGAAACTGCGGAGCAAAGAGTGCCTGCCCTGAGGCGAATTCAGCTCCGACCTCTCCTGCCTGCAGTACTCAGCAGGTCTTTCTCAGGCTTTCTGCAGCTCTGGAGGAGGAGCTACTAAACAATGTCATAGGATCCCAGGCCTTCACAAGATCCAAGGTTAAAAAATTTCAACTAGGGCATCTCTGACCCTCTAGGGGGATGAGCCAGCTCCCCTGAGCCCAAAACGGATCCACAACAGGGCTGGGAACTGGGGCAGGGGAGGGGATGCCCCCCCAAAGCCCCCCACCCCAGAAACCCCTCTTCTGCAAGGGAGGGCCAGCATTTAGCGCCTGCATAACACACAGCGTGACAAGACATCCCCTCCAAGGGCCCCGGGCAGAGATGCCGAGGATACACCTGCAAGCGTGCTTCCCCCCTCTGGATGCTGGTCCTATGGACGCAGACTCCTGAAGGCATGCCAGGTACCCGGCGCCCTCTTACACACTTCCTTCCTCCCCGAAGTCTGCAGAGCCCTTCCTTCAGCCGCACGGTACTCCCCCCCACCCCAATTATAAAAGTAATACGTGTTCATTGTACAAAATTCGGAAGCTACACAAAGGTAGCTTTCAATCTCCCCCAACTGCACCAGCTAGAGTCAAACAATAACTATTTTAAGGACTTATACCTGCAGGATGTTTATTTTACGTTATTAGACTTAGGTTTCTTACAAGTAGCATCCTTTCTGTCACTTACTACATGATGCAAATTTTCCAACTCGTTAGATAGTCTTCATACTTACGACTGTGGTATCACATTATATAAATAGGGCTTTTTTATTGGACAATCTCCCATTTTA